GCTAGACGGTATACTTTTTATATATATAAAAAGCTGTTCATTAATATTTGAGGTATTATATAAAAACTTAACAAATTTTTCATTCTTTAAATTTTTAATGATTTTTTTTTAATTAAAAATGTGATTATGAGATAAGGAGATAAAATAAATAGCCAAAATTTTATATACATAATATTTATATATTTATTAACAAATCTTTAAAATTTAAAGTAATTTTAATCACTAATTTTTTATTTATTATATTTTTTGTAATTCTGATTACTTTTTTCGAGAACTGTAAGTGCCTATTTGATAAATTTAATCAGAAAATGCTAACTTTACATTTAAAGTATCATATTTTACTTTCATTATCATTCTTTTTATCAGAAATTGTAAAAATAATTTAATTAATCAAAATTTTTATATCATTTTTTATTTAAATTAAATAAATATTTAAACTTTTAATTTTACAAATTTTTACAAATTTTATTATAATTATTAAACTTTGTAGATTTTTAATAAATTTTTAATGTAAAATTTTCAATTTTTATATTTATTATTTAAATTACTATACTTCTAGATAATAATACTTATTAAAACTATTTTTTTTTAGTATTTTAAACTAAATTAATAATTTAAATTTAAATATATTTAAATTTAAATTTTATTATATAACTTGATTTTTTTTAAATTAAATTATAAGTAATTATAAATAAATAATTAATTATAATAATATAATATAAATATTATTATAGAATATTAATATGTTAATTAATAAAGATTAGTATAATAAAAGATAAATTATTAATTATAACTTATAGTAAGAACTATTTATAAATAATTATAAATTACAGTTTTGGCGGAAAAAAATGACAATTACAAATTGGCAAATATCTCGCCCAGCTTTTATTAAAAAAATCCAATATTTTAAAATTAAACCCCCTAAATATACATAATGAAAATATAAAAATCCTAAAAATTTATCATACAACCTTGGCTTTCTACTACAATTCCCACACGCCTTGGCATAGACCTTACAAGATTAATACATAAGTTTACATCGATTGCCTCCTATTCTTTCCTTATTAATCTCATAAAAATTTCCCATGTAACTGATTTTTTTCAATGAACATAATATTAACCTTCTTCTCAACATATTTTTTTATTATTGCCCATAGATTCTCAATCAGATTAAGATCCGGAGAAGAAAACGGCCAATCGAGAACTTGAGGACAACAATCCTGAAGCAAAGCGATCGTAAGCTTGGCTCGATGCTTAGGATCATTATTCTGTTGAAATATCCACCTGTTTCGAAAGATCCGAGATGCTTGCTCAAACAAATTTTCAGTTATAATATTCTGGTAAAGCTCCCCATTCATGTTCTCTGTAAACATGTGAAATCTGACAATTCCCTTTGCACAAAATGCACCCCACACATGGACTTTAAAGGGGTGTTTTACCACAACTCATCTCGGTATTGTTTCTCCAACTTTGTAACAACTAGCGTCATATTACGAAACATCTAAAATGTTGACTCGTCAGAAAATACGACATTATTCCAACATTCTTCTTGATGAGCTTTCGCCCAAGTGATATGACGATTCATAGCATCCTGGGTAAGGAAAGGAACTGAACAAGAAATACAAACTTTATACCCAAGGTCTTGAAGGTTTTCTCTAACCGTCTAAGGTGCAATATCAAGGTCAAGGTATTTTTTTTTTAGGTTTTCGATTATTTCATTACTTGACGTACATTTGCGCAATTTCGCAATTCGACCAAAATAGCGACACTAAAAAGAAGAAAGACGTTTTGGACGTTCCAGATGACTTCTTTGCTTAAGGTTGTTCGTTTCTTCGAGTTGTTTGGCCCATCTGTATAATGTTTTTAATGGATATCCAGTGGCTTTTTGAAGGTCTGCGACTTTACGAACGCCACCTTTCCATAAAGCTTTAATACATTAACGGTGCTCTTTTAGTGAAACCATTGTATGATGCTTGCGATCGCTAGGCTGCAAATATTTATTAAAATATGATGTAAACAACTTGTTTACATCATAATTTATGTTTTTGTTTAGACATTTCGTGTGATCCGCTCCAAAATCTAAAAAAAAAAATTGTCATTTTTTTTCGCCAGAACTGTATCTTTATATATAATATAAAAATAAATATTTATTTTTAATTTATATAAATCTATAATTTTTTCTTTAAAATTTACAAAGCAAAATTTTATAATTATTAAATAGTTATTTTATAAAAGAAAAATAATTAGTATAAAATATTTTATTATAAATAATTAGATTTTTCAATCATATAAATTGAATTTTATAATTAATTAAAATTATTTAAAAATAAAAAAGTTTTTATTTAACTGTTTTTTAAGTTTAGTTTTAGTTAATAATATTTTTAAATGTATTTTGAATATTAATATTTATATTTTATATTTAAATGTACAATTTATTTTTAAAAATACATATTTTTAAATATATATTTATTTATAAAAATATATTTTACTTTAAAATATTAATTTTTTTATTAATAAATTATTTAAAAGATTTTTTGAATATATAAGTATTTAAGTTAAAAAGTTTTTATACTTTTTAAATTAATTAGTCCTTACAATTTAAGAGACTATTAATCCTAAAGAAATCTATTCACTTATTTTTAATAAGTAACTTTATCAAAAAAATGTCATAAATATTTTATAATAAAAATTACTAATTTTAAATTTTAATAAGACTACTAAATATAAGAGAAATTCTAAAATTTTAAATTATAGAATTTCAAATGAGTTTATTATTTTTTTTCATTAAGTAGCTTATTAAAATATTATAATAGAAGTTTATTAATAAATTTGTAAAAATAATTCTTTATATTAATAATATGAATTTTGAATTTTTGATTTTACTTAAAAAATATTATAAATTTTATAATAAAAATATTTTTTGATAAATAATTTTAATATGTTTAATATTATTTTAAGTAACAAGTAAAAATTGCAACCAAATTTAAAAGAAAAATTATTAAAGGAATAGAATGTGAATATTTATAAAAATAATATTCTCATTTTTATAATAATATATTATTATTAACGTTAATATTCAAAATAATATTTGGTATTTACATATATAATCCTTTTAATCATAACTATTTAGTTAAAAGGTTAATTACAAATTTACTTGTATGCTTACATAAAATTTTCTTTTGTAGCATTTATTTGAGAAGTAATATGATCTCTTACTATAATCAATATAGAAAATATCTGTAAATTTAATTTTTTTTTCCCCTTTTTATTGCAAAGTGAATTATTTTAAAAACTAATACAAGAAATTATTTGAGAACCATAGTAATCAAGAAATAAAAAATTTTTTTTTTTATTAATCTATTCATTCATCTTTTACCCATTTAATATTTTGGCTTTCATAATTTGAGTAACAGCGAAAGTCATTTGCCAAACCACCTTTATGCTGTGGTATGAAAGTTGACATTTTTGCTTTGATTAATCTATAAATGAGGTCGCGCATTACAGCTCCTAAAAAGAGATGATTATATTTTAGACTAATTTTAATTTTTTATTAAACGAAAAAATTTGAATGATATCGTTACCTGTGCAAAGTAAAATTTTACAATTTCCTCTTTTCTCAAGCCATCTTACCGTTATCATGGATTTAGTACAACAGTCCTCACTTAAAAACGGAGGATCAACTAATATAAAATCAAAGGAATTTCTTAATTCTTGGGAATTACGAAAGTTAGTAGGGTTTTTATAATCGTATGTATAAAAATCCGTTCCATACACATCAAATCTTGTATCAAATTCAAAGAGACAGATTGTTTGTTTTGGAGTTGGTTTTATTGACTATTTAAATATAATGCAATTAATATATATATATATAAGAAGAGAAATTTAAAGATATAAGAACGTACTTTTAGTTTGACGAATGCTGTTGGTGTGCTGATACATGCTATCCGACTGTCTGGGTTGGTATTAGTTAGAACTTCTTGAGCTAAAAAGTTTGATGTCACTTCATCGTACTAATTAAGTTGAAATAAAATCTTTTAATGGTCAAATCCATTTTTATTTTTTTAAAAAAAAACAAAAATAATCGACTTACCCAAAATTGACTCAGCTTTATTCAAATTAACAAGAAATAATCTATCAACTTGGATGTTCACTTGATAACTTATAACAATAAAACATCATACCTGCCAATCTTCTTTAAAAAAATCTATATTAATTTCCGTATTAATATCATCATCTTTGTTGTCTTGTTTCGAATCTTGTGAATTGGATTCTAAATAGTTTTGTATACAAGATAAAGATTTAGCCTTTAATTGTTCGAATTTTATCTGTTGTTCTTGTTGCTCTGAAAGAAATTCATTTAATGCTGATATTGCGTGTTCCGATAATCTAATTTAAATTATTAAATTAGTTTTATATATATATGTATGTATGTATGTATTATAAAAAGTTAACAAAAATAAAATAATACTCTAATTTATCATCATTCTTTTCTTCAGTCATGTTGAATGTTTTTTTTTAAGTTTTTTTTAGATGAAATGAATTTCATAGGATTTTTATGTGTAACTTGTAAATAACAGATTTCCGAATTAGGTTTATTATTGTTTCTTGATTTGGATATTCAGTTACTTTTACCAAACACGTGTTTCAATGATTTAGAGCAGACTAATCTAAGAGCGGAAGGTCAGTTTTGTGAAAAAGATCATGATGTTGCTTCTTTTATTGTAATTGATCAAAAAATTACTTTCGCAGGAGAATTATATAATAGAAAACCTCAAAATATATCTTTGGAACTTTACATTTGATCAAAGCACGAAAGTTGTTATCAGATAATTTTCTTAATTCAATTTTATTTTTAATATGGCACGTTTGTATGATGAACCTTTGAAAAAAAAAAGAAAAAAAAAATAGGCACATGCTCAATTATAAGTTTTCCATCTGTATAAATACTCAAAATCCAAAAAAATTTCTTTATAATTATAACAAATAAATTAGTTAAAATATCATCGTCCAAGATTTACATCTTGCTGAAGCCTTCTATATTCTGATTGATTAGTTTCCAAAGTATTTTCCAAAGTTTTTACATGAAGTTTCAAAGATTGAATGTTATCTTGTAATTCACGTACGGAAAGGCGTTCCTTTCGAATATATTCTTCTAAAGTTCTATTTAAATGTTCTTTTTCATTTAATTCTGCAAGCTGCTTTTGCTTATATTCATAAAGTTGTTTAAATTCCGATGTTTGACCTCCACCAGATGATATTTGTAAAGCACTTGTATACGAATTTAATGCAGCATCTTCCGCTTTCTTTAAATTTTCATTTAGTTTAGCTAATTCCTTCTCCAGTTGTTCTTCTTCCCATTTGCCTAGTTTAAAATCATAATCCGTTAAATTCAAGGTTTATATATAAGAAATCATCATAAAATGAAAATTTTCGCATACCACCAGAATGAGATTGTCCATAACTTGACCTAGTTGAAATGCTAGTACCTTCTGATGTCTTTGACTTCCATGAAGGATCAAGAGTCTCATTATAATTATAATTCAATTTTCCTCTTACTAATGATGTTTTTAACGCGCTAGGTAAACTATCAGGTATACGCTTCCCCTTACTTCGCTGATTTAATATGTGAAGGTAAACGAGACACTGATCTTTTCCAAGTTGTTGCTCAAAGTTAACATCGACTTGATTCCTAAATATTTATCATAAAGTTAAAGTCATACACATTTAAGAAAACATATCATAACAAATAAAATTAATAAGGATTCAAAACCATGCCGCTATACACTCTTCTCTCGGTATTCCAAGTCGTTGATAAAGTTCATCGAAATTCGCAACTAAACAATTAAAAATTGATTTTTATGTAAATCAAAATGAAAAAATTTGCTTGAATTTCAATAACAAAAAAAAAAAAAAAAAAAAAAAATAAATTGATAACTAACATCGAACATAGCCATGGGCCCCAACATGTTTAGTATATTCATTTTCATAATTGAACTTATCTGCAGGAGGCATATACCAGTCAAAATCATCTGATAACGGTGCTGTCGGAAAGCCACCATAACTACTACTTGAAGACTATCAAAAAAAAATTTATTCTTAATAAACATATCCAGATGTTTATGCAACATTCAAACTAAGAATTGGTCATACCTGATGATACAGCGAGGGAGGCGGAGGAGGTACCTGCGGCAATTGTTGTGATTGTGAATATGAAGGCATCATATTAGAAAGTAAAGGACTATTTGACTGAGGAATTTGATTGATCGATAATGGAATTGGACTAATTGATTGTGGGATGGAACTAATTGTTTGAGGAATCATCCTGGGACTAATGCCTAATGTTGAGCCTCCGTGGAATCCGGTGCCACCTCCCCCAAAGAGATGAGCCTTACTTGGTGGAATTAAATGAGGAGGTAATGATAGAGGGACATCCGGATATATTTGAGCCAATAGATCATTGACTAATCTATATGTGACTGAAAATTCATCAAAGTCAAGTTGTCCATCTTTGTCAATATCACAAAGATCCCTTTAAGTTTTAAGGAAAAAAAAAGATTTTTTTTTTTTTTTTAACTCATTAAAGAAATAAATTTCTTTTAAAAAGTAATATAAATAAAAAAAAACTTGCCATATCCTTTCGAGCCATTGTACAGGTAAATTTGAGTTCATGAGCCAATTCCTGGCTTGGTTACCTGGATTAAAATTTAAGATTAAAAGTTTTGTTTTTCAGAAAAATTCGACCATGTAGACTTGACATACCAGAAAGGTAGCCATTTATGGGTCCGAGGGAAGAAAATACTTGAAAATATTGCTGCTTCTCCGCGTCACTAATAATACTCATCTTGTTTAAGTAAGTAAACTGTAAATTATTAGTAAGATAAAGGGAAAATATAAAGCGTTGGAGAAAGAAACCCAAGTATTCATATTTATTATTACACAATTCTTCAATTCTTTTATTGATGTAGTCACTTACATAAATATTATTAATAAATATATCAAATATATCTAAATGGGTTACACGAAGATGATTTTCAATTCACTGGATTAGAAGTTCTATTTAATTCTATAATAATTTTTTTTTTTTATGCAACTGTTACATTTAATGTAAATAACTCTATTTGTTAAATTTAATAACTATTATTCAGAAGAAATTCCTCTTGGTGGTGGTTTTGGAATAACGGTTCTTTCATCATCTCCTATAATTTTAAGCATATCTGTTTTTTTAAGTTCATTACCGAAATCCTTAAGCACTGATGCAAAATAAAACTATAAAAAAAAAAAGTGTATTAACAGGATAAGATAGAAAAAATAAGAAAAAAAAGAAAAAGGAATATAAAACTTACCATAAGTAAGAAACCGAGAATGGTATATGTAATAGCAAATCCAATGTAAAACTTTACACCTTGTTGACATAATTCTCGTTCCGATTGAGTATTTTGAGGAATTACATCATTAGTAAAATTTGCATTATCAGTAGAATTTGCCGATGCTTCTTGTCGTTTTTCATATGGCTTCATCCAATGACTAACTGGACTCCAATAATTTCCTTCTTGTGCTTGTTCATTAAATTTTTGCACACACATATCCACAAGTGTATCTTTATTTTTGATGCTTATTATCGAAATTGATATTCCAAAAACCAAATAAAACATTGCGCTGGCGCTAACAATAACCGCGAAATAATTAATCAATTTTCGATTTTGCTATAAGAACGTGAAAATAAATTTTTTAATTTTTAAATTTTTCAAGAATGAAAGAAATTTAGGTTAAAAGTTTTTCGTTTACCGTAATGGCACCAAAAAGTCCTCCGAGAGCTATCACCCCTCTAATAATATTCCAAACACCATGAAAATATCCAAGTACTCTCGAAAATTTCGTAGCCGCTAAATACACAAGATTTAGAAATCATAATACTCGTCACGTTGCCAAATTGAAACCAAGGAAGCACCTACCATCAACAAAAGAAAATGCGACATATGCTCCGGCAAAACTTTGAGCCTAAATTGGAACGATTGATTTATTTGTATAAATATAAACGATAACAGATTATAACTACTTACTAGAACAAGAAGTGAAATAAGGATTGCCCCAGTACGAAGTTTGATGCTGAAAAATTAAGAATTCAATCATAAGAATTAAAAAGAAAAAAAGAAGGTACATAAATTCATAACTGATGACTTACAAGCAACAACACCTTTGAACCATATTTGTCTATGTAATAAATAAATAACAGTGTTTTTAAATTAAATTTTATGGAGGGAACAAGAGAAATAATTTATTCCTTCCAAATAAAATTAAAAACAATGAATTTTTATGTTATCTTGGTAAATTCTTTTATCTCGAAGTGGATGAGAAAACGTATCATAACATAATAAAAAGCTCTTATAAACGGCAATATTCGATTTCTTATGATCCGTACGTTAACTTTTTTCGACTGACGCGTGGCTGAGCAAAATGGTTTCGCTTAGCATTTATTATTAAGATTCTAAAGAATATTAGTTGACCATGTGGCTTCTTTAATAACCGGATACTTTATAATTATATGCTACGCCAGTAAGTTGTCGTGGATAAATACATGTAATAAATCAAGCTTTCAATATTGGGATTAATGGAGCCGAGCCCCAAGTAAATAAAATCTCGATGCTACAATGATAACAAAATTATTTATTGATCTTTTTTTTAGCCATATTAGTATAGATGCTTTCTTGACCTATTATTTGATTTATATTATGAATAAAGGTTCATTTTCCAACACAATAAAAAATTTTAAAGAACACAGAAATAATTTTTTCTGGGGTTAAATAAAATTCGTCTATCACATGACAAGTTATATCTTTTGAACCCCTGCAATTTTTTGTCACTTGTTGATTTCTTTAATTTCGTTTAAAGAAAAACTGTGTATTTCAATATAATGTCGAATTCTTTTGCTTTTCCTTCTATACATGACTTTCCACCGTTTTATACGTAAGTTTACTCGTAAAAAGTTTATCAGAATAAATAAATAATATTCCTTTCAAATTTGTAATATATAGATTTCAACCAACTCAAACAACATGGCAAAATCAAGTTGCGCTTTGGTCAGAAATAATTTTATCATATTATAGACATCACAAATTATATCGTCTTGAATTATCCGAAGCATTAAATAGTGAATTGTTTTATAATAAAGGAATTAATCGTTAGTATTTTAAATTTTCTTTTTCTTTTTTTTTGGATTAATTTTTAAATATATATATATTTATTTTTTTTTTCGCATTTTAATAGGAAGATTAAAGCTTGATACATTAAAAATGATAATTGACGAAATGGTTAAACAAGGTTTGATTTAAATTTAAATTTTATTTTATTTTTTTCTTTAAATCATTATTTAAATGTATAATTTTTTTTTAATCTAGGAATGGCAGAATGGGATTCACCACCTAAAAAAACTACCGCAATTATTTATTGGAGAAAACCAGAAGAATGGGCAACCTTAATTAATAATTGGGTTTATATTATTATAATATATTAAGTCTTTATTTTTAATTCTCAAATAATTTTTATTTTTAATAAATCGAATTTATTATTTTTAATTAACAGGTATTTGAAGCTGGAATGACGAATTCTATATTAACAGTATATGAAATTGCACATGGGGATACTACTGAGGGCTTGGGTAAATATAAATGAAAATCTTTTTTTTTTTTTTTTGATTGATATTTAATTTCTTAACAAAGACTCTTTCTTTTTTATTTAATATATAAAGAATTTCATAAGTTGGATCAGATAATTTTAATGAAATCATTGGATATATTAGTGAAAAAAGGTGTAGCACAGACATTTCAAGGTACTAGTGTTGATGATATAGGTATCAAATTTTTTGGAATTAATGGATAGTTAGATTATAAAAGTTGTATTAAAATTAATATTTGCTAGATTATTAATCTAAAAAGCAAATTAAAGTAAGTATTCATATATAAAATATTAATATTTAAATATTTAATATATTAAATCAAAAACTTGTATAATATAATTCTTATAAATAATTTAGAATAATAGATAAATACAGTTTTTTTTTTTAAAAAAAATTTATTATTTAATAATAAGAATTTTTAATATTTTTATTTATTTATATATATATTTAATTAATTAATTAATATTATAAAATTTTATATAATTATTAAAATTATAAATATAAAATAATAATAAATAAAAACTTTATTTATAATTATAAATAATATTATTATTATTAATAATTTAATAATTTTTATAATATTAATAAAATTTTAATATATTTAATAATAATATAAAAATTATTAAAATTGTTAATAATAATAATATCAAATTTAAATTATCTAATAAAATTTATTTCTCTATTGGTTTTAACTTAAAAATTTATCTGTAATTTTTAAAATTATTATTTAATTATTTTAAAATAATATATAACATTTTAATATAAATATAATAAATTATTATAAAAAAAAATTTAAATTTAAAATTTATATATTTTATTATCTATTAATCTTAAAAATATAAAAAAAGCTACTATTTAATAGATTTTTATTATTTTAAATGTATTGCAAGCAAATTTACTAGAATTTTATTATAAATGATTAAAATTATTTATAATATTTTTAAAATAACTTATTTAAAATTAATATTTTTATAATAAATTTATAATATTTTCTAAGTAAAAATTTAAAAAAAATGTAATTAATTAGTGATATTTTAAAGATAAATATATAACAAATTATTATGAAAAAATTAAAATTTTAAACTTATATATTTTGTTATCTATTAATCTTAGAAATATAAAAATATAATCATTTAATAGATCTTAATAAGATAATTTTAATAAACTAATTTTTTTTTTATAATCATTAAATAACAAGTTATTTTAAAAAATTAAAATTAAAAAATTGATATTTATTAATTATTACTTAATTTAAAAAATTAAAAATATTATCATTAGATATATACTCCCGTGCAAAAAGTTTAGGATCACCTCTAAGATTTATAATAGCGATACATAAATTAAAAAATATTTATTTGTTTGTGTAATAAAATAAACTATTTATAATATATTGTTTAATGATGATCGTCATACAAAAAATTTTTTTTTCCCTATATTTATTTTTCCGTTGTTTCCATAAAATGGTTAAAAGAAAAGAACTAACAGATTTTGAACATGGTAAAGTTATCAGCTTTTATGAAGCTGGTGACTTCGAAAGAGCTATTTCAAAAAAAACAGGTTATAGCAAAATGACAGTACATAATATAATAACAAAATACTGTAAAAAGGATGCTATTTTTGTTGCTAATAGAAGTGGATGTCCTAAGAAAGTAACTGAATAAGACAAGCGTCATCTTAAGACTATTATTGTCAAAAACTGGCGTAAACCTGTTGAAAAAATAAAAGAAATTTTATCGAGTTTACTAAAAATGTAATATGTAAGCGAACTATGAAAAAACTATATGAAATGGGATATAACAGTCGTACAGCCCTTAGAAAACCTAATATAAATGAGAATAGCTGAAAAATTCGTTTAAATTAGGCTCGTGAAAGGTGTCTATGGACTATAAATGACTGGAAAAAAGTTGTGTAGAGTGATGAGTCTAGATTTGCTCTATTTCAGAATGATGGAAAAATTCGAGTTTAGAGGCTTTCTAAAGAAAAATACAATATTAATTGCCTTGTTCCAACTGTAAAACATGGTGGTGAAGGAGTTATGATGTGGGAATGCTTTTCCTGGTATGGGTTAGGTCCTTTAATAAAGGTTGATGGTCAGATAAATAGTGAAAGATATATTCAAGAGATCCTTGGCTACCATTTAATTCCATTTTTAGAAGAATTTGAAGAACAAAATGGAGAATATTTGTTCTAACAAGATAATGCATCAATTCACACAAGTGAACGAACACGAAACTTTATTGAAGAAATGGATATATATAACTTAGTTACTTTGGCCAGGACAAAGTCCTGATCTTAATCCCATAGAGCATTTATGTGATGAGCTTGAGCGTTGAATCTGATTAAAGCAAAAAAATCCAAGGAATGTGAGGGAATTAAAAGAACTTCTTTAACAATATTGGTTAGAGATTTCAGATGAAATTTACCAAAATCTTGTTGAAAGTATAAATCATCGAGTAGAAGCAGTGATAAAAGCCCACAGCTATCCCACAAGATATTGATAAATACTTTTATTATATTTTATAAAAGTAAATATCAAGAAATAATTTTTTTTTCATTTTTTTATTGAAAATTATTCCTTTTTTACTAAAG